ACCAGGTCCTAGGGAAAAAGTGAAAATCTTTAGGGAACATCTTTAACATGCGGTTCATATTCCTGGCCAGCAAGTCCTTGCGGCAGATTTCACTCATCCCTGGGAAGTGATTGATTTTCTGCAAAGGAAGCCGAATTCATGAACGATGGGGACAGGGGATTACACACAAGATCCCCTCGGGGAACACTGGGGGCCCATGGGGCAGATGCCACACTTATGCTGAGGACCAGCTCTGACCCAGATACCTGGTAACTTTTCATTTCCATCACCCGCTCCAGTGACACCGAGTAGTCAGTCCAGTAGAGAGTCCAGTCGTCATTTTCCCCTCCTTCTCGAAGGCCGTACTGTTGGGCAGCCCTACGCACTGCGGCAGAGTTGGAGGAAGAAAGGCCTGTTAGCCCAAGAAGTGAAGGAGGAGCATGGAATGGGGAGGGTACATTTCTAAGTGCTGCCAGACCAAACAATGAAGCGAGACACCCAGGCTCCAAGGGACTGGAAGCCATCTTGCCCTGCCTGGACACACCATTGCCAAGAAAGCAACACAAAGAGTTGAAAGCTATTGACGAATATGCCCAATCATCCCCACGGAAAGGTTATCTGGGAAGAATGTTTTAACCACCTGGCTTTCCCATGACAGGAAGAAGGCCTCTGGGATTTCTCCAAACACTAAGCACTGAATGTTAAGAGAATAAAAACTTAAATCCTTAACATCAGCCAGAGCCAAGCTTAATTAGTGAGGTAAATTGACAGGAAAAAAAAAATTATACAATGTATACCAAAATGACATATATGCTATCATATCCTTCTTTTCCTGTCTCTGTTAATATCGATAACTAGGAACTGATTCCAACACCAACTCAAATGTCTTCAAGGGCCTGGAAAGGAAGAAGTGCCCTCAGTGACCAAGAGAGTCAAGGCCAGCCTAAAGCTTCCAAATTCGAAATTAAAACAACAACAACAACAACAACATTCTACTCTATAGTACAAAGTAGATTTGCAGATCATCTTCAGCCCACAGATGGCCAGTTTAGAACCTGTACCCTAAAAAAGAGCCACTGATGACAGCAATAGCTGCCTTCTCTACAATCAGATCCCCTAATAACCATATACAAGAACTATAGATGGATGAAGTCTACACCACTGTGGTCAAACCCATATTTTCTCAGAATGAGCTTCCCAACTTCCTCAAATAGTTAAATGAGCTTGGAGAAGCAAAGGACAGGATTTGGAGACACACTTTTTCATCCTCGAGAATATGTAAGAGTGACCCTCCCCAACTCTTTGGGGAATCCAGTGGGTCCCCACCGTAGATCCCTTGAATACAGATGCTCACCACTCTCATATCGGCAGCTGGATAGATTGATCACCAATCATCTGGAAAAGAGAAAAAGGAAAGCAGCAAGACAGAGACAGACACACTTGCCAGAACAAGAGACTGCATACAAAAACATCTCATCCCAGGTGGGGCTGCATGAAACCTAAGCCGTCACACACAATTTAAAAAAAAAAGAAATGACATTCTAAACACAGCATGAAGATTAGGGCAAGGTGTAGTTTTAGATTACACACACCATTATTTGATTCTATAAAACAGATCATCAAAAGTGGGTTCTTTTTATATGAACCAAAAAGTGGTCTCATCACAGTTTCTCCTTCCCCCGCCCCTTCATTAGCAGCCAAGGTCCCGTTCCTCCCAGGTCCCTCTTGCTCTTAACCAACGTGAATCCCCATTCCCCATCTTTCAGTCCTAACCTCCTTTTCTTTCTCTTCTTGCCTTGCTGCTGGGCATTCTGAAGTCCTTTTTGAGCCTCCGTGTTCTCTTTCACAAAAGCCAGGGTGACGATTTCTTTCAGATCTTCTACAGAACTGTTCTCCCTCTCTTCTGACTCTGTCCCTTCCTCCCCTTCCAAAGGCAGGCGCTGGTGCATCTCCCGGGACTGGGAGGAGACTCTGGGGAAATACTGGCCCCCACTAGAAAGACGGCAGAGTAAGCGGCAGTTACTTGGATCCACCTGCAGGGGGACCCCCTCCCTTTCTCATGGGGGTGGTCGACCTGAGCTCAGACTAGGCAACAGGTTGCAGTTAATAAAATGCCACCTCACCTCCAAGGTTGGGGCAGGCTCTGGGAGGGAGCTGATTACACCTTTTGCCATTGACTATGATCTTGGGGACTCACTTGGCCAACCCTGGCCTTGATTTATCTCACCAGGGGTTTTCAGGAGCAGGCTGAGACACTATGCATGGCACCACCTGGTAAACAATCTTATTATTAAAGTGAGTGAGTGTCTGGAGACAGCCTCAGAAACAAGCCCTAAGCCTTCCTAGCTAAGGGAGTTAGTCTCAGTGGGTTCAGATGAGATGCTTTGAGATCTGTTAACTGTTTCGGCACTGCACCGAATCTCCTGCATGCAATCTGCTGGCCTGAGAGTGAAAGCAACTGGCGCTCGGAGTGTGCAGGGCTGACTTGCAGCTAACTGAACAAGATTCAAGCCCAGGGCCCAGTGCAGACACCTTCAGAGCCCCCTCCCACTGAAAAGGCTATTGTGGCTCCCCAACTATCCAATTCAAAGTGAAAACAAGACCAAATCATAAAACACTTATAAGGAAGTCCAGTTAAGTTCTCATCCCTCCACCCCCATGATGGCTTCTTAGATATTTACTTGAAATTTCAAATATCAAATGATTTTTAATGCTCCTGCTTCACTAGTCCTTAGGAATATGCTTAGTTCGTCTCTGGGTAACTCAGAACTGCCCAGGCCCAATTAATTGAGTTAGAGCCCCTTCACATCCACGGCTTAAATGACCACAGAACCAGTTTTCCAGTGCTCTCCCCTCCTAACTTCACCTCCCAAACCCTGCCAACCCTCTCCACCATTTCAATCCCTTTCTTTTGAGGCCTACAGTCCTCTTGCTACTTACTACCTCTTCTTTCCTCACAAACTCTTGGGCTTTTTAAAATGATATTAATAATATCTTTATTCTAATTTATTCAAATTTATCATTACTATTGAAATACTATAGTATAACATTAAAGGAAGCATAGGAAAGGGTAGGCTGGGAAATTATCTTCAGCTTTTCTATCCTAACATGGCAACTTTGGTCCTTTTGTGTAATCTCTTTTATTCTTAATTTCTAAGCATGATTATTTTTTATAATTGTCATCACAATATAAAGAATTTTGTGTCTGCTTTTCACCCACTTAATATCATATCATAAACGTCCTTGGGTTGTGACAAAGTTTACATATTTCTAGTTTTGAATGGTTGTGTAATAATATCTCTTTGAAGGAATGTATCTGAGTGTAACCAACCATTGCCCTACTGTTGACAATGTAATTTGCTTCCAATTTTGCTATTATACAAATAGCTCTACAATGCACTTTCATGGACAGAAGGCCTCTTACTTCTTTAGGATTATTTTCTTAAGATTTCTATCCAGAACCAGATTACTAGGTTAATAAATATGAAAACTATGTGGGTTCTAATTTTATTGATTGATTGATTGATTGATTGATTTATATCACCACATTGTTTCCCAGTGGAATTCTAACAGTTTTGACTACCACCAGCAATATGTAATTATAGCAGGCTCACCAGAGTCACACAATCTCTTGGGAATCACCTCCCCTCCCCTTTGTACCCAAACTTGTTAATTCTAGACAACTTTTATACCTTATAGCCATGTCTTTAACATTACTACATGCTTCTACCTCTTTCTCCCCTTTTTCCAAAACAAAACTGGGGGGACCCTCTCACTTAGAGGTTATCTATGAATCATTTAATAATAAGCCCTTATGTGGGTATAGTTCTTCAGGCTTTTCAAAGAATTGTCACATACACCCTCTCACTGAATGCTCACAACCACTTGCAAGAGGGAGGCACAAGTAGTGAGTCAGCTGAGGACTGCCACTTGTTTCTCTCTCTTGCTAAGGAGGGCTGCCACTTATACCCAAGTCTCTTTATGCTGACACTTGAGCAGAGGGAGAAAGAGTCGTGCTCAATGCAACTAACTAACCCATGAAACTTGGGCCTTGAGGGTGGGTTTTCCCAGAAAATAGGCACATTCTTGGCAAAGTTCAAGACAGCTAAAGTACATGAAATCTTGACCTTGGGTTGCTTCCTTCCTTCCAGGTAAACAGCCAGCTCCACTCCCCCAGCTCTCCGCAAAGGCTCCTATTTACCAAGCCCTGGAGGAGGAGTGGCCCCGTTTACCTAAAGGTTAATTTTAACCTAGGAGAGAAAACTGACCCTGAATTTGGCCTCTGGAGTTGCAGGTTGTCTTTGCCCTTTTTTGAGTCCTTGCCCAAGTAGTAAGAACAAGTCATGGCTGCTTATATGTGCCTGTGTCAAAGAGAAGAACAACAATAACAACAAAAAAAGGGTCAAATTCCTCTTGCAAGAGAGGGCCTCAGGCACACACAGCAAGGAACTGAGCCCATGTACTTTTAAAGAAACTGGTTCAGGATGGGATTCTTGCCTGTCTTTCTCTATAGTCTAGGCTCCTGTGACACGAGAGCCACTTGGATGGCATCTGAGACAGGTGCAATGGCAGACATCATTGTCACATGTGACTATTTTTGCCTTAATTTCCTCATCTGTAAAATGGTTTGTCCCAGTTATGGGAATTAAATGAGTTCATTCATCTGAGTCAATACAATGTGTTTAGAACAGTGCCTGACACAGAGTAGATCTCACCACATGCTATCTATCATTATCAGCTTTGAGGCCCTGGTCTAAACTCCCTGATAGCAGAGAACATGTCTGTGAATTCTCAGCTCCTGCCATGGTGTCTGGCACATAGCGGAGATTCATATGCTTCTGGAACTGACTGGAAGAATGAATAAATGCATGAACCGTTTGCCTTTCTAAGGCTCATTTTCCTCATCTGCATAATAGAAGCATTGCTGTGAGCAAGAAATACATAAAAATTTTAAAACATCAACCTTGGGTCTTTTCATATAGTAGACACTTAAAACACTTAGTTTCATTCATTTATAGAAGTAGCTACTATTTACAACCTCCTTGACAAGTAACAGGCATTTTAGGAAAGCATTTTATATACACAGTCTCATCCTTATAATATCATATCACGGACATTATTTTCAATGTATTACAGATGAGAAGACTAAGGCATGGAGAGGGGAAGGTAAGGGGCAGAGCTGGGATTAAAAGCCATGTATGTCTGACCCCACAGCCTGTCTCTCCTCCACATTCCACCCATTGCCTTTCCCTCTCTACTGATCACCCATAAATGGCATGACCATAAAGTGAAACAACTGATCTCCTAGCTGCCAGCAGCAGTCTTGGTGACTTTAGTCCCTTAAGAATCAGTTGATCCCACATCATTTTCCTTAAAGCCAACTGCTTCTAAATTCCCACCTCCAACAAGGGCTTGGATCTCCCAAATTTGCTATAACTTGGGAACAGTTCTATTATTTCTACTTTGTCTTTATTTTCACTGTTTCTTTCCCTTCTTTTCAACAACATCCACATTGTACCAGGGCTCTTATTTGTGGTGTAATTAGAACATTTTCTAAGCACTTTTGGAATTCCTGAATATTACAGCTGAGAGGACCTTGGAGAGTGTCTTGTTCAACCTGTTTGATTTTCAGAGGTTTTAACTTACACAAAGCCGGGGAGCAAGTTAGTGGAGCCAAGACAGAAGCCCCGGTTTCCGGCCTCTCAACATATTTTTTCATTATGCTAGGTTAGTGAGCAGGCAATATGGATTAAATGCTTTGGGGCATTTTAAAAAGAAGATTGTGTTGGGCTACCAATGTAGCAAACATGGCAAATACCATCTCCAGTTTTTCTTAATGACACAAGACACGTTCAGTTCACCTTTCCAAATAGGATAGTTAAGACAGTGAAAAAAAAAAACAACAAAAACCAAAAACCTGACGTTTCCTTACATTTTAGAATAGAGATTTTGATCTTGGCTTCAAAGCCTGAGAGAGGCTACCAACCAAATCCTGGTTAGACAGCATGAAAATGACTTTTATTGGCCACCAGGGGGAGGGAATGAGCACTGGGATGGCTACATGCACACCCAAAGGTTATTTGGAAAATGTAAAGAGGAACCATGTCTCATTTCTGCTTCTGAACAACTATACAAGTTGACTACTCTTCTTGCCCCTAGGGATGTTGCAGAAAGGTAGAAGTATTTAGTGCTTTCTTTTGCAAGGCTGAATTAATATAGGTGTTCTTGTAAATGGGAGGAAAGAATTATTTTATTAAGAACAATAGGAGAACATGTTTCAAGTTTCAGCCAAGTTTTTCATCCTCACCTTCACAGCCTAAACTCTTCTTTCAGTCTGCAGGAATACGTATGGCACTGAAGAGCTCTCCTACAGTGTTTGCCTGTGACTTCCTTCCCTTCCTCCAAATAATAGGTTTTCCTTAAACCCTTTCCCTTTTGTATCTTTTGGTTCTCCTTCCCCTACTAAAAGCATCCCTCTGAAGGCTTCCAGTGGATAGCTCCTGGAAAAGTATGAAGTGGATGTGGGGGAGGGAGATGTGGAGGTAAGAAAGAGGCCTATTTATACCCTTGCTTTCAGTTTTACCTATTTGACAGAGTATATACTAAGAAGCCAAATACATAGGTCCTCTATCATTTGTGATTTTGCTTTCCGTGGTCAACTGAAATCCAAAAATATTAAATTTCCCCAGCAATCAACATCATCTGCTCCTGACATCTATCCATTGACATTGTCAATGCTCAATCCAGGATCACCTGAAGCAGATAATCTTTGTAACTTATCATCAGAAGGTTAATAGTAGCCTAATGCTACATCACAGTGCCTGTCATTCAACTCGCTTCATCTCTTCTCATAGGCATTTTATCATCTCACATCATCACAAGAAGGGTGAGTACAGTACAATAAGATACTTTGAGAGACCACATTCATATAACTTTTATTACAGTATATTGTTATAATAATTATTTTTCTTTTTTTAGATGAGGCAACCCTTGGTTGACCTCACAGATTGCAAGGAACTTGTCAGCTTACAATCCTTTATTTTTTAAATTTTTTACGCCTACAGCACTTGGTCTTCCTAGGTGGTCTCCCATCCAAGTACTAACCAGGTCCGACCCTGCTTAGCTTCCTAAGATCAGACAGGATCGGGCTTGTTCGGGGTAGCATGGCCGTAGACTGTTATAATTATTCTATTTTATCATTAGTTGTTGTTAATCTCTTACTGTGCCTAATTTATAAATTAAACTTTATCATAGGTATGTATATGAAAAAACAGTATATATAGGGTTCAGTGCTATCCGTAGTTTCAGGCATCCACTGGGGGTCTTGGAACATATCCCTCGTGGATAAGAGGGGATTACTGCAATTATCTCCTCCCTCATTCCCTATCTTCTCTGTGATTAGAGGATCACCAAGAAGATTAAAAGTCTCATATCTAGAAAAGTGTTTTGAGCTTTGATGCAGGCAGGATAAAGTAAGATGCCTTTTATGGCTTTTTGGCTTTTCATTCTAGACACTTTTTGAATTTCAGCACAGAGCCTGAAGTGGTCAGAAGCAAAACATGGGCTAACATGGTAGGGATGGGGACACTCAACTGCTCAAGGGCTTTGCCAATAAGTGCTGAGAATAATGTAGAGCATAAGGAATATAATCAATAATATCGTAATAACTTTGTATGTAGCTGATGGTTACTAGACTTACACAGCGATCACTGAAGTTATATAAATGTTGAATCACTATGTTGAAACTAATAATATAATAGTGTATGTCAACTGTAATTTAAAAATTAATTAATTTGAAAAAATAAAAGAAGTGCTGAGGATCACTGGCCACATTCAGTAAGAATAAGAATCTTGCTGACTCAGATGCTGTCTTTTATTTGGCTAGAAATTGAGGAATTCCACAATTCCTCAATTGGAAGAAACAATTTTCAGGGCAAGCTCATGCCCAGCCATTTTCTCCACAACATGTGCATTGCTAGCAAAGACAGACAGACCGGGATCCAACCCAGCCTTACCACCTACTAGAAGGGTGTCTGTGGGTGATAAACTGATCCTCTTTGTACTTCGGTTTCCTTATAAATAAAATGAGGATAATAATATTCATCTCTCGGGGTTGTTTTAAAAATTAAAAGAAAAAAATTAAATGAGTTAATATTTCTAATGCTCTTAATGCAGTGCTTGGTTCAAAATAAGGGCTATTTTGTAAGATGAAAATATAATGGTAGGGCTGTTGTACGTTTTAAATAATTTATTGAAGTACCTGCCACATACTGGTGCTTAGTAAATGTTAACTCCTTCCCACATCATCCCCAAATGTAAGTTACATTCTTCCTAGGGCTCAGATACCAAAGGAGAACTTTCCTCAAGGCTAGAAGAGTTTTCCTTCAGGAGAGTGAGAAATAACTGGAAGTGAAAGAAGAGGGAGAAAGGGAGCAGGGACATTTACAGAGGGCTGGGCTGGCCGTGAAAAAAAAAACAAACAAAAACAAACAAAAAAAAAACAAGTGTCTTTCTGGAAGGTTTCTCCAGACAAAGGAAGAAAGGTGATCCAGAGAAGGATACAATGATGGAGAAGCAGGAGGAGGAGAGAGCTGTGTGATTCTCAGAGATCTTCGGTATCCAAGGGGGCACCAGGTTTGGGAAATCGAGGGAGGGCAGGAAGTGAGGGTGCCGCAGGAGGGAGCCCAGGTTCCAGAGAGAAGTGAGCGCAGGAGGGGTTATGGAGCTGGGACAAGAAGGGTCGGTGTATGGGCAAGGTCCTGGCATCGGGGTCTTCAGGTTGGGAAAAGGGAGTTGTGGGTATTTTAGCGGTGAGCTCGAGTATGGGGTGGGGAAGAGGACGAGGGTTACCGAGACCGGCTAAGAGAGACAGGCCACGGAGCGGAGGGGGACCAGGGGCAGTGAGGATAAGGGGCTTTGACCTTTAGAACGCCACCAGGAAGGGCAGAGGGGTAGTCCTGGGGAACTAGGCACCCTGGGAGACATTGGGGGGGTGTAGAACCAGCTTTTCTGTAAAGAGGCACTAGAAGGTCGCGATCCGAGGGCCAACACTGGACTTTGGGAAGGTCTTACCGCGATTCCTACTCCCCAGTCTCGCTCCGGCTCCGCTGCCCGTCTCTCTAGCAACCATACTTACCGGGCCCCGCCAGGAAAGATGGAGACACGCTCCCATTGGCTGTCTTACAACCCCTAACCTCAACCCGCGCTCTTCCTACCTTGGGGTCCTCGAGACCCTTATATTTGCATATAGGGCTTTCTAAGCCTTCGATTGGCCCCGGCGGTGGGCTGCCATTGCCCCCCCCACCCCCACCCCGATTCCAATTAACCGCCCCTGAGCTCTGAGAG